CATAATGTTTCCTCAGGGAGCCCCCCCATGGCAGGTGGAAGCCAAGCACAGCCTTCAGTATAGTGAGACTCCCATGGCTACATGGAGTGGTCTACAGCCATATGGCACTAGATCCAAATGTGCAGAGGTTTCCGTTGGGTGTCCCACTCACGTGCAAAATTTAATTAAAATATAACACTCCCTTCCAATGGTACAGTCTGTCAAGCTGCCATACCAAGACCAGTGTACATTTAGGGCTAAAGAGTCTTCTGAGATGAGTGAACATGGTTGAATGTAACAGTTTTAGTCATTCAAGTCTGTATGACACCAATGTGAGTCATTAACTTGTTTCAGGCATAATATTTATTCATTCTTTGCATTATAATTTAGGTGTAAAGCTGCTTTACAGCTAAATGTCACATAAATAAAGGGAGCTGTTGAAAGATTTATGTACTCCGAGGCAATAAATTGGTTCACAGACTCTACTTTAAACTGATGTCCCCTTTCTAAGGATATTTCAAGACACCCATCACACAGGAATAAAAATCTGTCAATCTGAAAAAAAAAAAAAAAACAGTGTATTTTATCATTACCCTATTTTAATTTTCCATAACAGCTTAACAGATTGACTTAAATATTTATTCACATCCTGGATGCTTATGGTTTTGTTTGGCCGTTTAATCATCAGTCATCTAGTTTCTATGAATTTATTTGACACACTAACTGACATACCATTGCATATCTTCCGATGGACCAAATAGATTTGAAGTAAAAAAAAAAACAGAATTTAAATTCAAAGACTAGGCTTCTCTTTGAGGTTATTCCCAAAGAGGGTATGAGGTTAAACAGCTTTCATAATGAGGGAGACCTGCTTTTTTTTTTATTATTATTATTACCGTGGTCCAGTAGGGTGTTTCTAATGACAAAATAAAAAAAAATCACAAAAATATGTCAGGAATAAATTAAATGACTGTTTGTGAATCATCTTTTCATCAAGATATTTCACATCTTGTGCAATTAAAAAAATGCAGCTGTTATGTACTTTGTTTAAATAAAGCAAAAGACCAGCATTAGGTAAAGAATGAGGAGTGGCACGACAAGGTTACAGAGTTCCTGACATGACACAATAAGAAAATGGAAAAATGTATTGCCAAGTTGTATTGATCCTTGTTTACTCTGATTCCCTTAAATTAATTCCAACACATGGTATTGCCTTTTTGTGTACTTTACAGAGCAGAATGGGAAATCATTTTTCAGAAACTTAATTTGCCTAGCAAAATAGTTTATCTGCCATAATGTCCTGCTGAAGCATAGCATCTTGCAGCCAACATTACCAAAATGAATTAGTACCTTGTGCCGTTTGTTTGGGTCAGACAGCCCCTTATGAGTACCAACATGAACATCTTTGCAGTATGACGGTTGTAGGAAAAGATGTTTTATAACAGTGTTTACATCTGGACTTTCTTTCTCCCACATTACCCTTCAAAGGTGCCCTTGGACAAGTGTTTGGAACCCTGCTTGTATTTAATAAGTGTTCTTTCTATGGAGGTAAAGAGAGAGGTACTACAAGCCAATAGCAAATCATTTTGCGGCTTATTCTGTGTTAAAGCAAAATAACAACATGATAAATAGATTACTACTATTGGTAATTGATTTAATTAGGTAAAACCTACTGTGGTGCAACTATCACTGACTTTTTTATGCAAGTCAGTCTCTATTTTTGTGATATCTTTACAACTTATCATAATGAAATTCCAACTTCATATTGAGTTTCTAGACCTTTCAAGTGAATCAGAACTCTTGAAATAGTCACGTTCTTTTGTTTTTGTTGTTGTTAATATTTAGATTTGCTGCAATGTAACCAAAAGGGAAAAACTCTAAAAGCTTAATTATCATTGAGATTTCTTGCACAATAAATGCGAGCTACCAAGCATGTGTAATAGGATCATTGTGCAAAACACTCTGCCCACATACCCCTTAAAATATGGAATATCCCCAAATATGAAAGTGTGCTTCCTTTTTTTAATAAACAGAGGATGGGGTTAGGGGATGTGCAACATAAACGCATATTCTAGCTTTTGTTTCTCACAAATGTTAAGCCTGTCTTCCTAGGCCGATTGTTGCTGCAACAAGAGAATTCAAGTTCCATTTAGATCCAACAAAAGGAGTGTCCCAGAAAAAAGAGAGATGGACAAGAACAGAGCTTCTGATCTGAATAATGATCTCAGCTGGGCCCATGTGAAGACAATCAATGTTAAATGGTAACAGTCTGCCCATCGTGTGTGGGCTTAGTTTGATAAATCTTTCCCTGCTTCATGTATTTTTCTTTTCTTTTTTTAGTGGATGATTGAATGTGCTAAAAATATAAATACAATCTGGTACGCTGACATTTTCAACTTACACAAGGGGATAGTTTTTTTGGGGGGGCAAACATTTAAGCAAAAGGCTTGAAAGCTGCCTAAGAAAAGTGAATTTAAATCAATTCCATTTGAAAACATTACAGTAAAAGGGGCAAAAACAGCATTATAATTGTTGTTGCTTTAGCCAGACATATAACCTGATGATAGTAACACCTTTTACTAGTGAGATGTGCAACTCTATGAAACTAACTTATAATTGACAGCTTGCATCAGCTCTGTTTATCAGTATAAAGACAGCTGTCTTAAGGTGGCTTTGCATTGGCTTAAGGGTACCTGACATGTTGTCATTATTTCCCTTGGTCCTGAAAGTCAAGCCCTGATTGAATTACTACAGTTTGAATTGGCATATCTGAATGCAGTCAGTGCAGAAACCTTTACTGTATAGACTTAAACAATAACAAAACACTAAAATGAAATAAAAAATCCTGATTTTGAAAGATTTCACCAGGTAAACCCTGAAAGGATAAGCTGCAGGTAATTAAGTCTCAATCAATTCGAGACACACTATTTTCACAGTAGGAGAACAGTCTATGAATCACTTCTATCTGTTAGCTGGCTGTCAGTTTGGGGAAGGTAATCAAAGCAGCTTTTGCAGAAAGCTATTCTAGTAATAGTAGAGACAATGCTGAAACACAGGCCGTCATCCCAGATTGTATATAAACTTTTCTTTTAGTTTCAAAAAAAGAACTGTACAGCTCTTTCATAACCTTAGCCGTAAGGGAAAAAGGCCCTAAAATCTAAATTCTTGCAATCATCTCAACAGATGAGGTCCTACCCTGCTTCCTTTAAAGCCAATCAGATCTGAAGTTGAAACTCTGGCTGAGAATATCAATATTACTTTCAGTCTGAATAAGCTAAGTCATGCTAGTAATCTAAAGTTATGCCTTCAATTCTCTTAGGGTACAAATCTTTTTGGGCTTAACTGCATATATTTTAATGAAATATGGTGAAAATATCTGAAAGTGCTGAAACATAGACTTTATATGAATGTGTATTGAATGTTAATGTATTACCCTAAAGCTTGTTTCACAGTATATATATATATATATATATATATATTTTTTTTTTTATATATATAT